AAAACGGATAGGCGTAAAAATCTTAGTTTACCCTCACGATGAATGCAAAAGGGAAAACTCTTAATTTTATTCTTTATTCTAAACATTGGAGATGTAAATGAGTAGTATAGCTATTATAAGGGAATAAATGTCAAATAAAAAGGAATTTTAAGAAAATATGAGGGATTTTACAATTCCAGTGATTATAATTAGGGTTTTGATTCAAAATGAGAGATTTAAGAAAACCGGTTTGTCACAAGTAAATTAGGATTTTTGTTTAGACTTTAGGGTTTCTAAAATTTAAGGTTTTCTCTCTTTTTTTTTTAAACAAAACAATGTCTTAAATAAAGAAATCGTAATATCTTCTTGGAGACTAACAACAATAGTATCCTAAAAGTTAGGGTATCACATCTTTAAAACTATAAAAAGAAAAATTCTTAAAATTATGTTTAAAAACTTATTTAGCGTGTTTGCAAGGTGAATAAAGTTCTTTTTGTGTAAAGTGTTTCAATTGACTTTTACAAGTTTCATAAATTTTTGTAAGTTTCCATAATTTTTATTATTTCTTATACAAATTGATGACACAAAAACTATTAAATGGTCGCTCAACCCTATTAACAGCTTTTAGTTTGCCATTAAAGAACCACATTGACCAAGTTTTCAAAGTTAAGATATTGAATTGGTTTGCTATGATAATTAAGAGGCCATAAGAAAAAGGCAATATTGAAATAAAATTTATCTTCTCTCTATCACGCCCCTTTTTTGAAATAAAAAGGAAATAGATGTTTAAAAATGAGTTTTTTTTATTTTAAAAAATAAAGAAAAAGGGTCTAAAATGGGACTTTAAATAATGCGACGGTTTAAACCCAAATATTAGTCTAAAAAGGGTTTTTAGAAAGAGTTTAGGTGTACTAAATCAATTTAGGTATACCAAATTACTCAAAATATATTTTAAATGAAAAAATAAATAAAAACCTTTTAGACGACTTCAAGTCTTTGAAATCGAGATAAAAGAGTTCGAGACTCACGGTTGAAGAAAGAAACGACAAAAATTTGATCGATTCAAATCTAAAACACCCTTTTAACCTAACCAAAAGTAGTTGCGAGATTTAGCTAACAATTTTCTTAATCTAACCTATAAAACTTATCACATTTGCATACTTTTATATGAATGCAAACTTAGACCTAAGGAGATATTGAGAGGAACGAAATGTCTCTTCAAAATTTAATTGGTACAAATTGTTTTAATTGTGAACCCCAAGAATGATCCCTTGAAGAGCTCACGAATATATAAAAGATGAGAGTAAAAAAAATTTATGATATATAGATAAATATACATAACTTAAAAGAGGAAAATGCAATATATCGGGTACGAAAAACTAAAATTCGTAACACAATGCTAAGGCTAAAAAGCTACACTCGCTCATTTCTCATATTCAAAGGGTGACTTTTTTAACCTAAACAAGCAAATGGACTAGCCTATTTTTTAACTATCTAAATGAAATGCGAGTCTAAATGATATGTGTAGACAATGGAATTTTAATTAAATTCTAAAAATTACCATTGGTCTATTAAATATTTTCGTCCAATCGGATATTGTCATATATCATGTACACTTGGAAAGTTTGGTTATTAAATAGCCAATTATATTCCTCCACGTGTCAAGTTGAGGTGTTCCAAACCAATTCAAATCGCAGGGGTATCTTCACCAACCAAATCATATCATATCACATACCTATTGGATAAATATCTAAGTATTTATTTCTTATTAAAGGGATAATATTTAGAGTTATTTAATCCAAGTATACCTCTTATATACTGCAGTAGCTTGGCCAGTCAAGCGGTGCCACGTCACATGTCCCCACAAGTTTGGCCAATCGATAAATTACTTATCTCTTTATTAATAAATATAAAATGAAGAGATAATAGTTGGCTAGCACAGTCCTAATATGACTGCACGTCTTGCAAGGCAAGTAAGTGGTATGCAGGTCTTCAACCTCTACCCCTTGCCACAACTATAAATAGAGGTCTTTCAACCAAATCAAAGAGAACCACAGAGATACACAGAGAGACTTCAAGAGGTATCTCATACACTCAAGTATTGAAGTTTGAAGCTACGAAGGGTTGGATCTTCAAGTTCTCCAAGTCTTTCGCATATCAAGGCTTGAGCCTCCAAATATTCTCGAATTCTTCAAATCTTCCATATCAAGATTTGAAGGAGTCGGTGGTTGATCCAAGAACAAGCTGCGAAGCCCTTGGATTGGTATTCGAGGAGAAGAATCGAAGGAAACTCTCCATAAGTTCGAGAAACTTCCAGAGATTGTACCTACATATTTTTTTCTAAGTTTATATAGTACATATTTGTCGTGTATTTCTTTTTCTTGTCGTTTTGCAGACTTGAAATTTTTATCGCGTACAAATTTTTGGCACGCCCAGTGGGACCTCTCTGCTTTCTATCTCTTCCCCTCGAATATTCAACTACGTCTATTACCAATGGCACCAAAGAGCAACAAAATCTTGATTGCACGTTTCAAAGCTACTAATGCTAAGCCTGTTCAGGAAGCTGCACACGTTGCCACCAATACCCGCGTTATTGGCCCCGTGACAAGGAGTATGACGAGGGCCTCCACCCAAAGTAGCATGGAACTCTCGGCGCCAACTCCCGTCTTCGGGCCAACATCACAAATGGGCTATTCCTCCACGATGGGGGTCCAAGACGTTTTCACCTCGATTGAGAAGGCTCTTGCCATGCTCGAAATTGGATCCGAACCCAAATTTTATAAGCATGACGATGATTCATCAAGCACTGGATCAGCCTCTTCACATGAAACTCTTCATTCAAGATTTTGTATTGAAGATTCTGCTGCTTCTTCTGCTGCAATGCCTGCCATGATGACAAATACTTTGAGTCTCGAAGAACAAGTTTCGAACATGTCCAAGATGATGGAAACCATGATGAAACACATCAAGGACCAAGATGCTCTTATCGCTCAACTGCTCACCCAAAAGGACCACGCTCCTGAGGGAAGCCATATGAATTCTAAGGAGAACCAAGAGCATGAAAATCTCTCATCTAAAGGTAAAGACAAGGTGAAGGAAGTACACGTGACCGCCGAGGGAACTATCCCCGTAGAACAGTTGAAGGAACTTGCTGAAGGCGTGATCAAGGACAAAAATGGGGGTAGTTCAAGATCAAGTTTTACCTACTCCAAACCTTACACTGTTAGAATTGACAATCTAGCAATGCCTGCTGGATATCAACCGCCTAAGTTTCAACAGTTCGATGGGAAAGGCAGTCCAAAACAACATGTGGCCCATTTTGTCGAAACCTGCAATAACGCTGGAACCTATGGTGACCTGCTAGTCAAACAGTTCGTCCGATCCTTGAAGGGCAACGCGTTTGATTGGTACACTGATCTCACTCCGGGGTCCATCGACAGTTGGGAACAGTTGGAACAAGAGTTCTTGAATCGCTTCTACAGCACTAGAAGAACCGTCAGTATGCTGGAGTTGACTAACACTCGTCAATGGAAGGATGAACCTGTGGTCAACTACATTGATAGGTGGAGAAGTCTGAGTTTCAACTGCAAGGACAGGCTGTCTGAACCCTCTGCCATAGAAATGTGCATTCGAGGAATGCATTGGAGCCTAAGTTACATTTTGCAGGGTATACGCCCAAACACGTTTGAAGAATTAGCTACTCGTGCTCATGACATGGAGTTAAGCATCACGGCCAATGCAACTGATGGGCTTCCTATTCAAATTCTGCGAGTACAGCCACCTCGGCAAAACAATGAAAGACAAGAAAATAGAAAAGGGGGCAAGCCTCCTTCAAGATTCAATAATAAGGAGTTCATGGCAATAAACACAGCTCCCATGAAAATTGCTACCAAAGTGAGTCGAAAGATCACTGAGAAATTATATTCCTCCCAGAATAGATCAGTAAGAAGACCCACTTTAAAAGAGATGCAAGAAAGGGAGTACCCTTTCCTTGAGTCCGACTTACAAGGAATGTTCGATGATCTTTTCAAGGAGAAGCTCCATGAACTTCCCGACATGAAGCGTCCGGAGGAAGCCGGTCAAGTCAATGATCCGAATTATTGCTGTTATCACCGCTTGATTGGTCACCCTCTCACTAAATGCTTTGTCTTTAAGGACAAAATTATGGAATTAGCCCGCCAAGGAAAAATCCTTCTTGAGGAGGATAAAGCATCGGCAAACCAAACAACAATAATGTTTGGATCTGTGTGTTGCCCGATAGAAGTTCTACCCACATCAAGCAGTGCTCTGCCTATACAAACGGAGTTTGAAAAATCGTCAATTGAAGATGTTGTCGAAGATGATAATGAAGGATGGACTTTAGTCACTCGAAAGAGAACTTGCAAGCCAAGAATAAAGAAGTACATCTTTTCGAAAAGCATTCATTCGACAAAGCCAAAAGTAACGATGAAACGACAAAATGCAACAAAGAAACAAAAGAGAGTGGCCATAAAACCAATTCCTTCAGATTGTCAGCGCTTTCAAGAGGTTCGGCAGCCCGTGACACTGAGAGAATTTATACCCAAGGGGTATTTAAGTGACGATACCGATGATTTTACTTCTTATAATGTCGTCAAAGCTGAAAATCCTCAAGTCACACAAATTGGCACTGAATTTGAGAAAAAACTCAAAGTCGATGATAAACCACCAGTGGATTGTGCAACGACTATCATTTTTGATGATGACGATTTAACTGTTGTGTTCAAGACCCACAATCGACCTTTGTTTGTTAGTGCATATGTTCGAGAACAAAAGATGAGTCGGGTACTCATTGATGGGGGATCTGCTGTCAATATCATGTCCGTACGTGCTATGAAAGAGTTAGGAGTCTCAAGTGATGAACTCTCCCAGAGCCGCCTCATGATCCAAGGATTTAATCAAGGGGGCAAAGAGCAATTGGCCTCATAAGGCTTGAATTGCTCATTGGTGAGCTGTCTTCAAGTGCGTTATTTCATATCATTGAAGCCAAAACCTCTTATAACATGCTTTTAGAAAGGCCCTGGATTCACGAGAATGAAATTATACCTTCTACTCTGCATCAATGTTTCAAATATTGTCGAGACGGTATTGTTAAGAAAGTTACTGTCGATGACAAACCTTTCACGGAAGCCGAAACTCACTTTGCCGATGCCAAATTTTATCTTCACAAAGAAGCAAAAAGAAAGGAATCGGTAAGGGAAGAAAGTCAAGATTCCAAAGTACTCATTTTGCGGTATACTCCAAGATCAAAGAGAAAACAAGGTCAGTCTTCTTTTATCAGAAATGACACATTAAATGTTCCGCTCACCAAGATAGAGCCTGTTAAAATTGAGAAGGTGAGCTTGCAAGGGTTTGTTCGTCCCAAAGAAGAACCGGTAGTGGAACATTACTCGCTACCAACTAATCGGACTCAAGAAGGTTTTGATCCAAACGCCTATAGACTTCTTGCTAAGGCGGGTTATAACCCAAATGAGAAGAATACATTGGGCAAACTCCCTCCTGAAGTGACTGGCGAGAGGACTCACGGATTGACACCTACGCAGAAAATGTTGAGAGGAAGGGGCTATAATGTTAAAAGTTCATTGATGGGTCTTGGTTATCAACCGCCCTCTCCTGTTCGTATAATGATCAAAAGAGCGAGTTGTAACTATGTGAACGAAGAAATGGAGGTCACAAGCCGAAAGAGATCTGTGTTCGACCGATTGGGAAATAAGTCAAAACGTACTTCTGTGTTTGACAGACTTGGCCCGCAGCCGAAAAATCTGAAGTCGCCCGTCTATGAGAGATTAGGCAGTAAGAAACAAGAGTACCAAGTTGCCAGGGAAGAAAGTCTTACTCCAATAAAGAAGAACAGACCAAGAAAGCGAGTCTCCAATTTTTTCATGCACTATGGAGACTTATTCAATGTAAGAATTGAAACCATTTTTGAAGAACAGGGTCAAGAAAGTACGGCTTCCTGTCACCATATTACGATCAGTGATCTTGAAGAAGAAGAAGAAAATGCAGATGACGCTCCCGCTGAACTTGAACAAGGGGTAAAAAATACGGTCGATGAGCTAAAAGAGATTAACCTTGGCACAAGCGACGATCCTCGCCCAATTTACATAAGTTCTTGTATGACTCCTGAAGAAGAAAAAGAGTATGTTGATTTGCTGCTCGAGTTAAAGGACGTCTTTGCCTGGAATTACTCTAAAATGCCTGGTTTGGATCCAAGGGTCGCCGTTCATAATTTGTCCGTCAAGCGAGGAACAAAACCTGTCAAGCAAACGCAAAGGCGCTTTCGGCCCAAATTGATTCCTCTGATAGAAAATGAGATAGATCGATTGATTGAAGCCGGATTCATACGAGAAGTAAAATATCCAACATGGATTTCAAGCATCGTCCCTGTAAGGAAGAAGAATGGGCAAATTCGAGTTTGTGTTGACTTTCGACACTTAAACGAGGCTTGCCCCAAAGATGATTTTCCTCTCCCCATCACAGAATTGACGGTAGATGTTACAACCGGACATGAAGCACTATCTTTTCTCAATGGATCGTCTGGCTACAATCAAATACGTATGGCGCCCGAGGATGAGGAGCTAACTGCCTTCCGCACCCCCAAGGGAATTTATTGCTATAAAGTAATGCCGTTTGGCTTGAAAAATGTTGGAGCGACATATCAAAGGGCAATGCAAAGAATATTTGATGATATGCTCCATAGAAATGTGGAGTGCTACGTTGATGACCTTGTGGTGAAATCAAAGAAGCGAGAGGATCATATTCAAGACCTTCGAAGAGTTTTCCAACGCCTTCGGAGATACCAATTAAAGATGAATCCTTTGAAGTGCGCATTCGGAGTCACTTCTAGCAAATTTCTTGGTTTCATCGTTCATCAACGGGGAATAGAAGTCGATCGATCTAAAATTGATGCCATTGTGAACATGCTTGAACCGCGAAATATTCATGAATTGAAGAGCCTTCAAGGGAAGTTGGCATATATCCGGAGGTTTATCTCTAATTTGGCCGGGCGATGCCAACCCTTTAGTAGACTGATGAAGAAAGGGGTACCCTTCGAGTGGGATGAATTGTGTAGGAATGCTTTTACAAGCATCAAGGCGTATCTCATGAATCCCTCAGTGCTGGCTGCGCCCATTCCAGGAAAACCATTGATTCTCTATATTTCCGCTCAAGAACGGTCGGTTGGGGCCTTACTTGCTCAAGAAAACGATGAAGGTAAGGAGAATGTGCTGTATTACTTGAGCCGGATGATGACATCTAATGAGTTGAACTACGCATCCATCGAGAAGTTGTGTTTGGCACTTATATTTGTCATTCAGAAGTTGAAGCATTATTTTCATGCACATACTATTCGTCTCATATCTAAGTCCAATCCCATTAAATATGTCATGGCAAAACCTGTACTATCTGATCGGCTCGCGAGATGGTACCTCCAGTTTTAATAATTTGAAATTATTTACGTACCTGCGAAGGCTGTCAAAGGACAAATATTGGCAGACTTTTTAGTCGATCATCCCCTACCTGCCGAGTGGGAGTTGACTGATGAATTTCCCGATGAAGAAGTGTTTATGGTCGAATTGCCGTGGTCAATGTATTTCGATGGAGCTGCCCACCGTGATGGAGCTGGTGCGGGAGTTGTCTTTTATACTCCTGAAGCAGATATATTGCCATACTCTTTCACTTTAACACGCCGGTGTTCCAACAATGTGGCTGAATATCAGGCGTTGATCCTCGGTCTTGAAACGGCTGTAGACATGAAGCAGTTGCATCTTAGAGTCTACGGTGATTCAAAATTGGTGGTAAATCAACTCCTTGGTGTTTATGATGTCAAGAAACCTGAATTGATCCCATATTACAAGTATGTAAGGAAACTCATGGGATATTTAGATAATGTCACTATAGAACATATCCCTAGAAATTTCAACTAATAAGCTGATTCTTTGGCAAGGGTGGCGTCCATGATCACTCTACCTTCTCATCGAAATCAGATTTCAATATGTCAAAATTGGGTCATACCTCCGATGTTTGATGAAGGTAATGATAGTGAAGAAGAAAATACTTATCATATTTTTGTCCATGAGATCGAAAAGGAAGATTGGCGTCACCTCATCATTGATTACCTTAATCATGGGAAGCTACCAGAAGATCCTAAGAAAAGGGTTGATATACGTCGTCGAGCACCACGTTTCATTTACTACAAAGGAACGCTTTACCGAAGGTCATTCGATGGGGTGTTTCTACGATATCTTGGAGAAGATGAGGCCATGCAAGCAATGGAGGAGGCTCACTCTGGGATATGCGGTGCTCACCAGTCTGGCCCGAAATTATACTTTCGTATTAAAAAAATGGGATACTACTGGCCAACAATGGTAAAGGATTGCATTGACTTTGCTAGAAGATGTCAAGCATGTCAATTTCATGGCAATTTCATCCATCAGCCCCCTGAACCATTGCACCCAACTGTGGCTTCTTGGTCGTTCGATGCTTGGGGTTTGGATATAGTTGGACCACTTCCAAAGTCTTCTGGCGGACATGTTTTTATTTTGGCGGCGACGGATTACTTTTCAAAGTGGGCTGAAGCGATTCCTCTAAGAGAGGTCAAAAAGGAGAATGTAGTGGATTTCATTCGCTTGCACATCATTTATCGGTATGGAGTCCCGCGTTATATCATTACCGATAATGGTAAGCCTTTTTGCAATGTAGCAATGAACAAAATTTGCGAGCAGTTTCATTTCAAACAATACAATTCGTCCATGTACTACGCTGCTGCAAATGGACTCGCTGAAGCATTCAACAAAATCTTATGTAATCTGTTGAAGAAAGTCGTGAATAAATTGAGAAGGGATTGGCATCTTCGAATTGGAGAAGCACTTTGGGCATACCGAACTACTTTTCGAACTCCCACGCAAGCGATCCCATACGCGCTTGTTTATGGTGTTGAAGCTGTTCTTCCACTTGAGTGTCAAATACCTTCGCTAAGAATTGCGATTCAAGAAGGGCTCAGTGAAGAAGATAATGTTCGTCTTCGCCTCGAGGAGTTAGAAGCACTCGACGAAAAGAGATTGGAAATCCAGCAACGGATTGAGTGTTATCAAGCCCGCCTTTCAAAAGCATTCAATAAACATGTCCAGCCACGCTCTTTTCAAATTGGAGATTTAGTACTCGCTGTTCGGAGACCGATCATTCTCACTCATGGAGGACAAAGAAAGTTTACTGCTAAGTGGGATGGTCCATATGTCGTTCGAGAAGTATATACAAACGGCTCATATAAGTTGGTTGCTGAAGATGGATTAAGGGTTGGCCCCATCAATGGCAAGTACCTAAAAAGGTACTATGCGTAATCGAAACCACGAGAGACTCCTGGCCCGCATGAGCTAAAACTGTGGATGGCAACCACCAATAGTGTAGCATGTGGTTAAACTGCTGAAACACTCCACCAAGTCTAAGGTGGTAAACAAATAGATACTCCTGACTCGCATGAGGTTAAAATGTGAACGGCAGGAACTACGTGTGACTTGATTCCCTTGTCAGGATACGTAGGCAGCTTGGAGGGCAACTTCTAAGTTCAGTTACACAACTCCAAATCAAATCCTTGTCCCTTGTAAAAAAAAAAAAGGAATTTTCTCTTTCCAAAAAATAAAAAACATAATAAAATGCTCCATTTGAGTTCTTTTCTCTTTAAAAAAAAAACAAACAAGAGATAAGAAATGAAAAGCGTTTTATTATTGAAAAAAAAAGAAACCCATTACATGAAAACAAATGATGAATGACAAAAGAATTCAGGAAAAAGAAGAACATGGTGGAAAGCCTAAATATCAAATTTGTATTCCACTACAGCTACTTTATATGATTCAAGTGCAGACTTCATGTCTTTAAGTTCCTTCACAGCATCATCAGTCAAGATGCTAGCATTGTCAATGGAAGATAGCTCATCATGCGCTTGGATTATCTCGATCTGGATCTCTTTGAAAGTCTCATGCTTTTGGTCGATAGTCGAGCTGATTTCCAGGCTTTGCTTCTCCAAACTGATGAGTTCCTGTTGCAGAACCTTCTTCCTGGCTTCAATGGATTGCAACTTTTCTTCAAGACTTTGCAAATGACAAGTCAGTTCTTCTCCCTTTGCCTTAACTTTCTCGAGTTGGACGGTCGCTTTGGAAAGGAGTTCTGCATGTGTTTCTTTGCTCATTCTTTCCCACGATGAAGATGCTAGAACATCATAAGCCTCCGCCTTGGCAAACAATTCCATCAAATGGTCTTTTAAAGGCAGACCATTGGCGGGATCCGTTCTTGTGATTTCTGCAATGATTTCCTCTGCACACTCTTTTAAAGAAGAGATCTGCTCAATTGGAGTGTCAAGAATCTGTCCGCGGAAATCCATCCACAAACTTTGCAAGTACTTTCTTCGATGTGCCTGGATCAACTTTTGACCATGAAATTCTGAAACCAATGCCACCTTAGGCCTTTTTCGAATTTCGTGTGAACTAGTCAGCTCCTTCTTATGCATTGACGAAGTACCTCCACTGGGGGCAAATTGTCTTGGAGTGCTGATAGCTATTTCGTCGCTTTTGTTGTTTGAGATTATATCATCAGTTTCGAGTTCGGGTGATGAATTGTTACCAACACCTTCTTGACGGAATTCAAGAAACGGGGGCTGAAAAGGAAAAAGTTTTTAAAAAAAAAATTTTTACAGAAAGGGAAATAGATGGAGAGATGATTACCTTAAGTGGCGACACTTCAACCGATGGTGGTGTAAAGGAAATCTCCTCCAAATCAGAAGATGTCCTCTTCTTCGATCGGTTCCAGTGACGATCTTGACTACTACTACCGCTCGCCAATGAATGGACCCCTCCTTGAGTAGATCCGATGTCCTGAACTTGAGTTCCTTCCTTTTCTATAGCCTCGATAGAATCACGATCGTCCACCGTTTCAATTTCAACATCTTCTTCAGTGCGAGTTGCCGATAAGGATTTTGAAGCTTTGGGCGGCGTCTTCTTCGCTGGAACCACTGGTTGCGCCTCTTTGATGGCCTGTCAAGAGTCCTTGGAAGACTTATTTTTTGTAGCAATATTTTTCGAGGGACTGCTAGTAATTTTGTTCTTTCGCAAGGTGGATGAGGCAAGACCCGTTACAATCTCTATAGCTCCATTATGATGCCCTGACTCGTTAGCGGAGGTAATCTTACCCTTCTTCGATGATTGCTGAGGGATCTTAACGGTGAATTTAAAGGGAGTTGAAGAGACACTATTTGACCGAGTCGACCACCAGGCGTCATAGTCTTTTGTGATCAATGGATGCTTCCTGTGCACGGATATAGTCATCCGAGACCGTATCTGCGTGCGAACTGAGGAATCCCATAGTTGAATAGCCTCACCCAAAGTATACGTGTGAGTGATCTCTTTCAAGTTGTTGGGGATGTCCTGACAGAAGCCGAATTGTCTGCTGAACCTGCAAGGATTATATTTTTCAATAATGAAAGTATGGTCCTTACGTAGAGTTAAATGGCAAGAGCGTTGACTAATGAAGTAGCTCGTGAGTCTTGATGATAAGGATCCGTCATCGATCAACGCCTTTTCTTCATTCTCAGTCCAGCACAATTTAGGAAGCATCAAAGGGTTCACTTCTTTGAAGATTTCCTCAGCTTCCAATTGGCCATAAAATATTGCCATTTTCTCACCACTAAATCTTGTCATGCGCGCGTGGTGGCTACTCACTTGATGATTTTCGTAACAGACATCGAAGTATTGGCCAATCCAAGCATAGACGTAATGGATTGGAAAAGTTACCCCGTATTCTCCAAGGTTAGGGGCGTGGACGATCTCCCTCAACCCATGATATATGCTCGCAAGGACGGGAATTGCAAGACAAAATCCTTTTCCTGTGGCCATTAAGCATGCAACCTTGAAGACACTTGGGCGAATACGATCGACCTTTTTGCTTGGTAAAAGGAACTTGCAAATCCAACATGCTATGAATGTCGCAATATAGGTTTCCTTTCTTAGAGACCCTGGGATACCCAGGGTGTCAAAAGGGGCGTTGAAATCATTCGTGTCGGCAAGGTCGTAAGGCTCCACGCTTCCAAAAGGGTTGTAAGTCATTTTTGGTTTAGACGTGGTCTTCTTCCTGTTCGCTCTACTCGGAGGGGCCCGATACCTAGCCTCTCCTTTGAACCAGAAGCGAATCCAGTCCTTCATCCATACCCCTTGGTCATTCGTCCAAAGGTGGTAGTAGGCGGAAAAGAGGTGCCTGCAACTCTCGGGGAGAAGTGGCTTCCCTTCTTTGTCATGAGTAAGGAGCTCCCGCGTCGAAGGAACAACTTCATCTAAGAACGTGCCATCGATCGAAAGGCCACCAAGTCGATAGAGGTCCCAAAGTGTGATGGACAACTCCCCAACGGGCGTATGGAGTGTGTTCGTCGAGGGACACCAATATTTGAAGAAAGCTCGCAAGATATTTTCGCAGCGGTCGTAGGAGTATCTCGACGCGTAGACAGCTTCAAATATACCAGCACGTGTGAGTATGTCTTTATACCTTCCAAGCATGCCCTCCACCCACTTCCAATAATGGGAGGTGAAGCACACCTCACCGAAGAAGGACGAAGGGATTTTCCATGTAACTTTGTCAACATTGAATCTCACAAACGGAAGCGTGAATTTGGCTATTTCTGGATCTCCATTGTGGAGTGACGAGTTTAGTACGACCACTTCTTCTTCCCTCGACGTAGTGGAGAAAGTCGACGGCGCCACCACTTCCTTAGTCCACTTGCTAGTCCAATCCTCGAGATGAAAGCATCCTTCGAGAGGTATGAAGGATTCAGCGAGCGGGTCGATTGCTGGTTTGTAAACATGCAGTGACAAGCTCTTTGATTGAGTTCCTCCCCGTTCATCCGTCAGTGAAATATGCGGTAGTGGCACGGCATAGTCCTTAATTTGCATGATTGTTGGAATTCTGAAAAAAAAAGGTATTGGAAAACCAAGGGAATTTCTCGCAAAATTTTGGTAATTAAATTACCTAATTGGTGGCTCTCTTCAAATCCCCAAAGTTGCTTCAAGATTCGTTTCAGGCACGAGATGGGTTATCTACAAAAGAGCAAGTTAGTAAAGTTGAGATATTGACGTGGGTTAAAAAAAAAAAAGGGCTCTCAAATACCATATTTGATATTACCCTCATACATGGAAAAAAAAGGGGTTCAAATATCATATTTGGTATTATCTTAATAGATTAGCAAAAAAAAAAAAAAAAAAAAAATTTTGCTCAAATATCATATTTAGTGTTAAAAAAAAGGGGGGGTTCAAATATCATATTTGGTATTGTCCTAATAGATTAGCAAAAAAAAAAATTTCAATATCATATTTAGTGTTAAGAATAAGGGGGGGTTCAAATATTATATTTGGTATTACCCTAGTAAATGAGCGAAAAAAAAAAATAGAAAAAAAAACAAACAAGAACGACAAAAAGAGACAATAATAATAATAAAAAAAATAATAATAAAAAATAAAAAACAAAACAAAAAGGGGGTACAAAAATTGAGACTAAATTCTCAACCTTGAGGGATAACTCAAATATCATGCTTGGCATTATTTTAGTAGATAAATCACAAAGGGCCAAATTGTCTTGGAGATACAAGTCAAAAGCACACGTGGAGTAGACAAATAAATTCCAAGTGCTGATCATGTCCAAAGCGTCAAACAATGAAGCGTGCAAGAGCCTTGACTGAGGCTATTTATTGACAAGTATGACCAAAGCTATTTAGTGACTAAAGCATCCAATGATGAAACCTGCAAAAGCCTTGACCGAAACCAATTCTTGGCATGCAAAAATCTTGAGCAAAGCTTCTTGTAACAATTAAATGCTGCAAGGAGGAAACAAAAAGGGCTTCAAGTACCTGGCAGGCGGAAAGATATTGGAGTGCAACCAGCGGAGGATGATCAACTCTCGCGGCAGCGGCTTGCGCAACGGCTTTAGGTCAGTACGATGGAGGCAGTTTACAAGTAACAAGCATCAATCTGGTGGCACCAGCGACCGTAGCAGTTCTAGGCAGCAGCTCTCGAATCGCCAACCACAAGAAAGCGCTGGTAGCAGCGACAAGGCAACTCGGTAGTAGCGGGAAGTGATTATTGCTGTCTCTGGCTTCTCACAAGTGAACGCACGGGTATAATCTTGGTTATTTACACTAGTAGCATTGTGATTAGGTCCGAGAGACAGTAGTATAAAAAAGGAAGGGAGAGTTTTAGACTCTAGCAAAAGAAAAAAAAAATCCACTCGTAGCTTGGAGAAGTAATACGTACCTCCAAATAATTTAAGAGTAGCTCGGCAAAGGTGATGACCAACTCCAGCTTGTTTCTATCAGTTGAAAGACAGTTGAGTAGAGCGAACGGCAAATAATAAGCGGTGGTGATGGCAACAAAGCAATTCCCAGTAGCGGCAGCTGGATGATGGCAAGTAAGAAGAAAGGAACAAAGCTTGGTTTAAAAGCTTTCAGTGAAGAATTCCCGGCTTCGGTCCTGACTATTTATAATAGGTAGAGTTAAGCTCTTTAATGCAAGGAACCCGTAAGATGACTTTGAGATTGATTACAAGTCCAACGTGAGTCTGGCTTCGGGACCTTCCTGATTGGTCAATTAAGATTGGAGTGTGCATATCCCGCGGACTCCTAATTTATTCCAGTTACTAATGGATATGTTGATTGCCATCCGAAACCGAAATTAGTTCATCAAAGTCTTTGGGTTTGCGTGGATATCAGCGGAATTTGTAATGGCAAGTCACCGTGGAGTTTTGATCCGATATGGAGTTTTAATATATGTCGGGTGCTCAAATTACTTTCAGGTCCTGCGCACATGAGTTTAATGTCCATTATGATTCTAACATCAGTTTGGCTTCAGGATTTCATGCTCGGTTAATTAGATTTTGTTATACGTGGTTTGTAGAATTCTAACGAATCTCAAATTCTACTTGGGATTCTCCGATGGCAACTAGTTTCTGGTTCAGCTTGGGAATATTAAACACATGGCCGGGGCGGTGGATATGAGGCTAAAGAGAGTCAATTGATCTTTTAAAAAAATTGGAGGGCTTGCCCTTATAACATTCAATCCGAGTTAAAAGGAAAAAAAAACCTGCTCACGAAGTCTTTTAAGTCTTGGGAGATTGCTTCCGCGCTGATGATGGGCTCCATCGCAGTCGGTTTCAGACTTCTAGATTGCATGAACTTTGGAAATGACAAGGAATGAAAGTTGCTGATTCAAGAGTCCTAGGCATATTAGAGGAATTTTTTGATGATTTGCCGCTGAAGTTCCCGAGCCGACAAGGAGAAGTGGTCTTGAAATTTGGAGCGGTGGGGTTCCGTGGGTGATTGATAAGCAAAATGCGTGGGAGATCAATTGGGTTCCTGTGATTTCATTTTTTAAAGCACTTTGCATGTAGATGATTGGGCATACGATGTGCAATATTCTACAAATGAATACGTTGGCTTCTTGAGGACAAATGGTTATAATTAAAATTGGTGGCTACTTTATCACCAATTCAGAGGTCACGGCATTGCAAAGCTCTGGACAAAGCTCAGGAATTGATATTTGAATTGCCAAGCTTTGAGTAAAGCTATGACATTGAACAGACCATTACTTGAATTGATAGTCCGACAAAGCTTTGGCATGATCCTGAAATTGATATAACTAATGTTGCATGAATTGGTAGACCCCACATGACCATCTTATGAGCAAAGTTCACGAGTTGATATACGAAGTGCAAAACTTTGAGTAAGGCTACGGAATTGCAAAACTCTAAGACCATTCACGGACTCTACTATAAGACTTCAAATTGGAGTAATCCGGCCTCGGGACTTGCTTAGTCATCATCAACATCAAGTGCTAATTGGAACCCAAATGTTACTTGGAACTGGCCTTGGGAGTTTGTTATCAATTGAAGGCTATGACTAGGAGCTTCATACGTTTGTGGATTTGAATTGGAGATTAATGTCGTCCTGCTCCTAGGGCAATCGAATTAAGTTGGAAAAAATTGTCGAAACTCGTTCGCTCAAATCCCGCTTTAATTTTATTCACGAACGAGTTTCGAGGGGGCATTTGTAGACAATGGAATTTTAATTAAATTCTAAAAATTACCATTGGTCTATTAAATATTTTCGTCCAATCGGATATTGCCATATATCATGTACACTTGGAAAGTTTGGTTATTAAATAGCCAATTATATTCCTCCACGTGTCAAGTTGAGGTGTTCCAAACCAATTCAAATCGCAGGGGTATCTTCACCAACCAAATCATATCATATCACATACCTATTGGATAAATATCTAAGTATTTATTTCTTATTAAACGGATAATATTTAGAGCTATTTAATCCAAGTATACCTCTTATATACTGCAGTAGCTTGGCCCGTCAAGCGGTGCCACGTCACGTGTCCCCACAAGTTTGGCCAATCGATAAATTACTTATCTCTTTATTAATAAATATAAAATGAAGAGATAATAGTTGGCTAGCACAGTCCTAATATGACTGCACGTCTTGCAAGGCAAGTAAGTGGTATGCAGGTCTTCAACCTCTACCCCTTGCCACAGCTATAAATAGAGGTCTTTCAACCAAATCAAAGAGACCCACAGAGATACACAGAGAGACTTCAAGAGGTATCTCATACACTCAAGTATTGAAGCTTCAAGCTACGAAGGGTTGGATCTTCAAGTTCTCCAAGTCTTTCGCATATCAAGGCTTGAGCCTCCAAATATTCTCGAATTCTTCAAATCTTCCATATCAAGATTTGAAGGAGTCGGTGGTTGATCCAAGAACAAGCTGCGAAGCCCTTGGATTGGTATTCGAGGAGAAGAATCGAAGGAAGCTCTCCATAAGTTCGAGAAACTTCCAGAGATTGTACCTACATATTTTTTCTAAGTTTATATAGTACATATTTGTCGTGTATTTCTTTTTCTTGTCGTTTTGCAGACTTGAAATTTTTATCGCGTACAATATGATTTGCACACATAGGGATAAGGAAATAAGATGAGACATCATGCAAATGAAAATAACCTAAAAATAGAAAAAAATGTATAAAATGCAATATATGTCACACCAAAACATGAATCTAGCGCGTTGATGGCCTAAAGGATTTAGCATTAGACTAGTCTATTTTTACAAGTTCTCACTAGCGTTGGACTAGTGAGAAATTATGGAGAAAAGCCATAACTAGCGTTGAACTAATGTGATGACGTCATGCACTCATTATAAATAAATAAAGTATATAGAACTTAATTAAAACAAATAAACACAAAAAACACATAAAGCATGTATAGCACATAACACATAAGTATAATATCTAAATGCAAAAAATTCTAGAGAAAATGAATAAACCACATAAGCACATAAACAAACAAGTACACAAGGATATAAGACCTAACTATTACATTAGGAGCCCTAACTATAATCTAAAAGGGGAAATATAAAATAATAACCCTATCTAACATATCTATTACATTCATCTAGCTATTTATATTTTCTTACAAAAAATAGAACCTATCTATTACATCATTTATCTAATTACATTTCTTGCACAAAAGGATATTACTAATCTATTATAATTTGGGCATTTAAATACCCTCCAAATGATCACAAGACTTCCATTAAATAAGCATAAAAATGAATAAAAACTTAAAATAAATAAATGAAAAAAACATAAATATATAAACACATAAGATCAAGCACATAAAAAGAATTTAAAGGGTAATAGGTATACCTCCCTTTTCAAGTAGCAGCTAAATGAGGGGAAGGAAAGTTGTCTACTTTTCAAAATCAACAAACTGGTCAATACACCAATTTAATTGACAATTTTAAAAGAGAATGTAAATATATACTAAATTCCACTTTTTACTGTGAAAAATGTAAATAAACATAAAGCAACCAAAATTTATAAATTAAATGCATTTAAATGAAGCACAATTAGCAATTAAAGAAGAGAAACAATTGTAATTGAGAAATAAAAATAAATGAATAAAGTTAGGGACTAAATAGCAAAAATTAGAAAATTTTTTGTTCAAATTATAATTTTAAAAAAGATTAGGGGTCAAATGTAAGGAAAAATAAAGTTTAGGGATCAAAACACAATTAAATTAAGGATCAAAGTGTATGAAATCCAAAATTTTAGAGCTACAATAAAATTACTCAAAAGATTAAGGGCAAAATTACAAAATTTGTTTCTGATTACGAAAAAACATGTTGGGCCATTTTCATGCATTTGAGCCATATTACTTCAGCCCAAAAAAATAAACAAATCCATCTTATTTAAAAGATAGCCCAACCTAATTTATTCTTTCAACTTAAAACCAAACAAAAACATTGGGTTTAAGCCTCAAAACCCATGCCATAAACCTAATAAAAATAACACATCAGCCTATTTCTTATTTAAATCATTTGCATAAATTCCTAAAATTATCTAATTAAGTAATCTAAATCCAACAAACTTTATTCAAAACCTCAATTATACTTTAAAGATCAGAATTAATTTACTCAAAAAGGAAGATTATCTGTGCAAGTGCTGTGAGGAAAATCCAGAAACTATTGAACATATGCTCTTCTTCTGCAACAATGCCAAGGCTATCTGGAAAGCTGCTCCACTAAGTTGGGATGGTCTAGAGATTTATAGGAGCAAATTTTGGCTCTGGTGGGAAGAACTGAAAGATGCTATGAAGAAGGAGAAGGGAAAAGAGCGTATTGAACTAATGGTAATTCTGCTATGGCAAATCTGGAAATCGAGAAACGAAATGCAATTCAATGATAGAAGAAGGGATCCAATGATAGCTGTTAACAAAGTAGTGATGGAGTGGAGAGAGTATCAGGAAGCTCAGGAGGCACAGGTGGAAGTGGGGGGGATGTAGTAAGAGCAAAACAGAAGGGATGAGTGGCTGGAGGAGACCGAAGGAAGATTGGATCAAAATGAACTCTGATGTAGCTCTAGACTAAAAAGCTGATAAGGCAGGTTAGGGAATGGTTGCGAGGGACTGGCAAGGGAGGGTGATGGGTGCTTGGGCAGTGCCAAACTCAAGCTGCTCCCATGCAAAGCTAGAAGAAGCAATGGCACTCAGAATTGCTATGCTAGTGGCGAAGCAGAATGGATGGAGAAGAGTGGAATTTGAAACAGACTGTATGCAGGTTGTGAATGAAATTAATAGGGAGGAAGATGAAGTAGTTAGGTTCACAATGACGTCTGATATCAGGAAATTAAAGTCCAGTTTTGATGAATGTTGTTTTACCTTTACTAAAAGGGTAAACAACTTTGTCAGTCATACATTAGCTAAGATGGCGAAACATATGAAATGCTCAACTGAATGGAAGGGTAGCTTCCCAGGTTGGCTGCTTGAGCGCTCAAGCAGACTGTAAGGGTAGTTGCCCACCCTTTATGTAATCTGGATAGAGTATTAATAATAAAGTGCTGTCGTTTTGGTTAAAAAAAAAGGAAGAAATTTGTCCACTTTTTTCACAATTTATGGGCCCTTGTATAATTATACCAAAATTTGGGGGGCTAAATTACAAATATATTTTCTCATGGCCTCCAATTAGCAAATAACATTCCACTGAGTTCAACCAATTTCCAGCACCATTAAACGCATAAAATGTTTAAAAAAAAAGTAAGAAAGATAAAATAAAATACACAAATTCTTAACCTAGTTCACAAAACCCATCCCATTTAATCGGATCACAAATTTGGGCTTTTGGGTCTTGACCCAAACAAAACTAACCAAGAATCCCATATAAAAACATAGAGGTCTCAAACAAAATTCAAGCACAAGCCCACGTATACAGAAAAAAGTAAGCCCAATAGTTTTAACTATAAGCCCGACAATAAAATAATTTTCTGACCCAATTCTTAACCCATAAACACAAAAAAACAATAACCCAAATGGGTTAAAGGATCAAAACATAACAAACAAACAAAGAAACAAAGGAAGCAAAATAAAAGAAAAAGCTGATGAAGTTTCCGACGGGTTAAGAATACGACCTGCCGGAATCTAGAAAAATTTGGTCGGAACTTCGCCGGAAGGCATTTTTAAGGGTATTGAAGGCTGGATCTTAACATAAACGAGTTATCTATAGTTTTGTGGACTCATTTAAACACTAAACAAGCCCCTTAACATCATAAATCATGAGAAAAATGAGATCTAAAGTTTAAACCCATGAAAAACTCATATGATTGCTTAAAGCTTCATGCAAAGCGTTAAATCAACCAAGAGAAAGAGCTATAGTTACTCACAGATACTTGTGAACTTGAACAAACACAAGAAATCTCAAGAAAAATGCACCCAAGTTTCTGAAACAAAGCAAACAAGTTCCTTCAAGTGCTGATGAGCCCGCGACTTCAGGCCTTAATTCAAGTGATTTGGAGATGTTTTTTCTACAAATTTTCAAAATGAAAGTTGTTCCCCGAGGATAATAGATTGTGTACAAACCAAGTTCTTTGAAGTCGAATTTTGGTTGAGAAATAGGGCTGTTTCGTCAGCTCTGTTCGTAATTTTTTTAAAAATTTTTTTCTCTCCCTGTTTCTTTTCTCTTTCTATCTTTTGTTCTTGGCCAACTTTTTTTCCCTCTCCCCCGACCCTAAAGAAGACTCACTTTTAGGCCTTTTAAATGAAACCAACAAACTAAAACCCTAAGAGTGAAGGCTGAGTTGGAACTAGGGTTTGTTGGCTTCATTTGGTCCCTTACATCCATTTTGCCAACCATTTCTTGATGGATTTTGGGTGGTGAAGTGTCTTGGTACAAACTAATCTTTGGGGGGAAAGAAACAAGAAGCAAAAGCAAATTTGAATTGCCCAAAAAAAAAAAAAACTAGTTGCTCTTCTTGTACTGCTATTTTGGTTCACGAAGGAAGAAGACAACACACGCGCGCGTGAAGCTGCCCCCTTTTTTTTTGAGAAAAGAAACTGAGCTAATGTGCCTCCTTGCTTCCAAACTTTTGCTTGGGTTTTGCAGGGGTTTTTGTGGAATTTTTTGCTTGGGTTTTTGTGGAGTTTTGGCTTGGGTTTTTGTTTGGATTTTTTTGGTAGATTTTTTATTTAACACAAGAAAAGACCTCCACCAAAAATTTTCAATTTTGAGCATCCATTTTTCTTTTTATTTTCTTTCTTTTTGTGCAAACCTACAAAATAAAAATTACAATAATTATTCAAGCAATTCATAAATGAAAAATCAAAAATCAAAAATCAAAAAAAGACTTGAAATTGAGAAAATTTTGGTGTCTACACTCTCTACCCCAATGAGTTTTTAATCATAATTTTTGATATGGGTAGATAATGTCAAAAAAAGTTTGAATTAGGAGAAAGCAGTGATATTTTTCAATGTCCAAGAGTATTAACTAATATTGTCATGAACACTTCAACGGAGTTTTCTAAAATTATCATTTCATATAAGGGAGAGTTGGTTGAGGAACAATAACTTTGTTCCCCTTTTCTTGTCTCACATACATAAGAGGTAAAATTGGATTTAAGAATTGGATGTGTTTAGAGAGGAGCAACGACGGCATAAGGGAGGGGCAGGCAAGGGTAGCTGCCCCGGGCTTTCCGAAAAATGGACTTATATGTGAATAAGTATAAATTGCAGACTGTCAAATAAGATTAAATCTAAAAGTGATTTATTGTAATTTGAGCTTTAATATTTAATAGGATGTGAGTCTTTAATGCGTAGATACTTAAGGATCATTTTTTTTATTATGGGCTATAATAGAAATACCAAAAGATAACATGAAAGTTATATATAAGTAAGGTTATGGTTCTCGAGTCACATGTATTTCTGTTGTCATAGACATAGATATCACAAAATAGTCCTTTCTTGATATTCCATTGTCAAGAAAGATACCATAGAGAAATTGAAAGATTCTCTCAAAGGATGAGCGAATACGCATTGATTTGGAAGGCCACCTTAAAAGTCCAATGATTCATGTAGTAATCAATTAATATGAATCCAAGTGATGGTTTTTTCAGAGATTATTTTTAAAATGGTACGTATTTAGATTATAGTTGTATTCAAATATTTGATATTAGAATCCTGAAAAATCCAACAAGTGGTGCCAGAGCAAGTATTAGATTTTGAATCGTTATAGTTTAAAGTTAGAAATTTGTGATCTTCAGAGTTATTATAAAGTTTGCAATTATGTTCGCTTTACTAGTATCTTCATTTGTATTGGATCCGTTAGATTTAATAATTTTTGGATTTTTGATGAAGTATTTAAATCCATATACATGGTGGTTTAAGTCTTAAGCCGAAATTTGGTCTTCTTGTACATGGCATTTCATGCATTGCTTTCATGGCTGAATTCTAGAAGGAACCCGCATGTTTGCGTGGTTTTTGTTTTAAGTCTTATGTACGCCGTTTTCATGCATTGCTTCAATCATGAATTGTATATTTCATGTCTTGATTAATTAAAACTCTGGGTATATCTTCATAATTACAAGGTCAGGAATATTAATTTGGTTAACACTTGGATTCTTTGACTTGTTTCTTCGTTTAAGAATCAATATGCATATCCTTACATTAAGGAAATCATGGTTTAAATTTAAGCGAATCCTAATATAGTTATATGAGCCTTAAAAAGTTCAATTGGCCCACTAAGTATATAGTCTCATAAGGCATTTTTAGGGCTAAAGAAGGTACTAAACTTATATGACAAACTTTTGGGTCAAGTTATAAAGATGGATCTTTGATCTAATAAGTCTTGATCCAATTATCTGGTATGACCAAATTTGATTGGTTTTACTATTTTGACCAAATTTGATTAGAGCTAACCAAAGTTAACTTTGATCTAAAATTTTGTGTAATTTTAAATTTGGTTATCGGTATAATTATATATATTTTGGAATAAATTAATTGAAACAATGTGTCTCCAAAGTGACATCTCTTATCAAAATTAATTTGTTTTAGAATATAACTAATTGTACTTGCGATTTTGTTAATATTGATTGACCCAATAAGAGGTCAATGTTTTACAAAATTGCATGTACACTTGTGGTAATAACTACATGATGATTATTCAAATTTTATATGTGAATTATAAATTGACCCAAAGAAAATTTTATTTTTTGACATGTTCTTATTATCAGTGTTTATTATTGTGTCAAGATATCACTTAAGAGTTAATATTTTTTTGGCCAAAGATAAAATATTAATGGAACATCAGTATTTTGAGATGGAGTTATCTTTATTTGAATTTATTAATTATTTAATGTTTTCTATTTAGTTGTGAATGATCCAGCAAATATAACTACCAATATCAACAATATTCCTATACTAAATGATACAAATTTCAAGTCCTGGAAAGAAAACTTCTTGATAGTCATGGATCTCAACTTTACGTTAAGGGATGATTCTCTTTCACCTCTTATATATCAGAGTACCTCTAATGAAATGAGAGATAAGGAAATGTGGAAGAGATCAAATTATAAGTGGATGATGATCATGAAAAAAGGTCATTTCGAAAGTATTCACAAGCATAATGTGTAAAACGACAACTACGATTAAAGCCATACTTTCGAGACATTAAAAAAAGCTTTGCCAAGAATGAAAAAATTGAAATTAGTACACTCTTGACAAGTCTAATTTCAATGAAATATAGTTATAAAGATAATATTAGGGAGTACATCATGGAGGCGTCTCATCTTGCTTCTAAGTTGAGTGCATTTAACTTAACATTCTTTAAAGAATTACTAGTACATCTAGTTTTGATGTCCTTTCCTACATAGTTTGGCTAATTTAAGATGAGTTACAACTGTTAGAAAGAGATTTAGTCTTTGAATGAACTCATATCACACTATGTAGAGGAAGAGAAAAGGTTGAAACAAGAAAAGAGAGAGAGAGTGCTCACTTGGCATCAACCACTAATAATAAAGGCGAGGATGCAAAAAGAAGAATGATAAGGAAGCTATAGATATGGCACCGCAAAAGAAACAATAAAAAAAATCGGTTGAATCAAGAACAAAAATGGTTGTTTCTTTTATGGAATTGAAGGGTATAAGAAGAAGCATTGCACTAACTATCACACTGGGCGTGCTTAGAGAGGTATTCTTCTTAATCTGGTTTGTTTTGAAGTTAGTTTAACTTTGGTGTCTGGATATCTATGGTGGATAGATTTTAGTACAACTACTCACATCATTATGTATATGCTAGGTTGCCGAAACTGCTGAAAGTCTAATGATAGTGAAAGATATACCTATGTGGATTATAACAAGACAATTCAAGTTGAAGCAATAGGAGTTTTTTTTATTATTGTTAAACATCAAAATTTTTTTGGATCTTAATAAAACATTTATTGCACCATCTTTTTGATGGAATTTAATTTTTATTTCTGTATTGGACAAATTCGATTATTTTTGTTCATTTGTAAATGGAAA